CTCTCAGACATTCAGTTAGTTATTCAGCCATAAACAGCATACAAAGGTACCTTGGTTCCCGCTTCAATGATCCCCGCATCTTGGTACCCTGTTTATAGCTAAATGGCTAACCGACTAATTAAGAGGTGATTAGACTAATGTTTCAGTATTGGACTTTGTGTAAATAGGAGGTTGAACAGTGGCCAAAAGTGTGTAAGACAGTCTCCACCTAGACCTGTGTACAGTGGAACTAAATCAGAATATTTTCATAAAGGAAACTTCTAACAAAATTCCTGAAAACTCTTCGGGTGAGTAGTTTTCTTTATGAAAATATACTGCGATATTTCGAATATCATGCCAGCTGAATCGTGAGATGGCCTGTGTGCAGCACATTCAGTTGTAGACTATCATAAACGAGAGATTCAGTTGAGTCTCTCGTGAGAACCAAATTGATTTGCAATTGAGTGCATTTCTCGAAAAAGAGACTGCTTGCTTCTTACTGAGGTTTTAAATGACGATAAATGAGTAGCACACGTTCTGTTAGCGCTGGAAAATAAAAATTACGGATTACTTCAAAACAGTGGAGTTGACATCAACAACCGTTGTGACTACTGAGGTTTTAAATGACGATAACTGAGTAGCACACGTTCTGTTAGCGCTGGAAAATAAAAATTACGGATTACTTCAAAACAGTGGAGTTGACATCAACAACCGTTGTGACGCACTCTTGAATCTAAATTGACCTGATGATGATTTCCCCATATTCCACCGATATTCTTCTGTTCTCCACTTGTTTTGCTTAGCTGTATTCTCCAATCACCTTGCCGCAAAGGCCGTCTCGTCCGACACTTTTATATAAGCATTGTGTGTAGATGTGAGCAGTTGGCCTACTTACCCATACCAATTGGTGTCCCGTTTGCTGAGCCTGCCTTGACCTTTTTCTCATGAGTTCCTTGTGGTTGTACTGCCAACAAGAATCACGAGACTGTCTTCGGAAGGGACGCTCACAACCCACGCTGCTGAGCCATCATCCCACTCGCCGTTGTTTGATGTGCGGACGTTGACACTGCACTGTGCCGGTCAGTGACAGAATTGTGTAGTTGCTTACGATGCGGACATAGACACCCGAAGTCTGTTGTACTAATTTGCTTACCCTTGTGTAAATAGTACCGTAGAATTTCGAACCAATTCCTTCCTTCAGGATTGTCAGACCTAAGCGTCACTCAAAGTTCTCTTATCGGGAACCTCAACTGGAGCCTATGGCCCGGATATCGGATTCCAATAAGTATGGGTTTATAATCAATATTAACACGCCTGTGCTTGTCAATACCTAAAACCAAACGTGTAATTAGTCTCCACTTCTTGTCCTCTTACCTCTCCATCTTTCTGTATTCTTATATCCCCTCAATCGGAACCACCTGGCGATTCCCTGAGTGGGGTGTATTCAGGGCAGGGGGTAGTATTTTGGCACTTTCTCACGACGTTCATTCTTATAGACTTCTTCGGTGCTTGAAGAAAAAATTCACGGGGTCCACTTCTGAGAACCAGGATAATCAGTTCTTCAGATCCATATAGCTTGGCTTTGAAAAGACCCGGTAATGCAATTAAAGCGAATATAAATCATATGTCAGCGACCGCGCCTACTGTTCACTACCTAAAAGGAATAGCAGTCCGACGAAGTTGATACCATGAATGCTGAGTGTGGACACCGGACCCTTGTTGAGCGTTGAATGGTTTATAACCGTGTGAATCGTATCCGAAACCAAACCAGGTTTCACAAAAACGTGTCACGCAAATGAAAAATTGTTCCATGGATAAAGGGAAGGAAGAACTCGGTAAAAATGGGTTTGAAAATCGAGCAGCGGGGTTTTCGTGTACTCTGAGTCACCAAGTTAAAAACTAAGAATTTTCATTTTACTATATTCATCACGTTACTTGTCGCTGCAATCGCGCCCTAACCAATTGGTCCGTCTCGCCCCGTTTGAACGAATTCCCAAGAAGAAGGAGCCCAACGCTGCTGTTGATATGTGTCGAAATCCTATGATGAGAAAATTTCACCCGTCTGATTTTCAGCTTGCAGGAAATGTTGTACACATGACCTACAACTTTGGTGCAAGCTCGCAATCAAGCTAGCAATTCCCAGTGTGCTTTTGGTGAATGCCACTTGTAGAGCACATGCCCCTGAAGTTTGTGCATAAGAACCACAGTGTTGAAAGACTTATCAACCGCGGAAAAGGCGGAATAAGTTATTTCACGATGTTGTGAATCGATCGCTTCTGGAGCAGGGGAAACGGGTTTCTATCAATTGGAAAATGTTTGGAACCGATTGAGAAGTCATCGTTTCAGAAGTGCTTCGTAAACAATTGGTAGTTTTTATTTGGGCAACGTTTCGCCTTTGACACAAAAGCTTCATCAGGCCAAGTGTACAGGTCACCCGATTGGCCAGGTTATAAGACAGACGGGGTACCAATCAGTAAGTCCTCTTCACACTAGATCAGTGTTGAGTGTCAATTAACGGCTCTTGTCAAATAGTGTGGGTGCCAAAATATTGAATTGCTGGGTTGGAGGAGTACCACATTAGTTCCGATCGCTTTTCGTTCCTTAATATTCCGCTTTAGGGTGCCTCACTGCCGAATTAAAAACTACCGATTGTTTACCAAGCTCTTTTGAAACAAAACCGGTTTCTGTTGACGACACATGTACTTGGTTAAGTGAAAAATGTGTAATTAATGTGTGAATCAGCTAAGTTGGGGGAGAAGAAAAAATGGGTGCTTCGAGATTACGACATGGAAGGAAAATTCTTCGGTGCTGGATTCCACCTATGGTCATACACAAATGCCATAATATATGCTTTACGAAGTGGCTCATGACAAATATAGGGCGGAAAACACACGGCACGAGTGCGCATATAGTTTTATTCTTCCAGATAGTTATCCTAAACATATCTTGTTCCCGCCCTAGTCAGATGAACACGTCCGTTATTTTGTGTCGCAACCCAATGGTAATCACTACACATGGGGCGTTAATATGACCCCAGCATTACCAGAGCATTCTACCTAAGTGATAACAGTGGTTGTCCACATAAACAAACAAATGACGACAACTAATCAGGGAGTGTCCAGTAGTACACTCATTTACTGTCGAAGAGTTTTTAGCAACTTTGTGAGTAGTTTCCTTCATGAGAGTGTCCAGTAAGTTTCAACATGTCCGTCGCATTACCTGACTGGGAAGTCTTGACAGGCGGGTCAACCTGTCGACACAACCGAGACCGTTATTGCTCGGAAGCGATAACTCAACCACGTCCAGCATGCGCTCGTGGAGTATTGGGAACGTGCTCTGCTTTGCATGTCAGATGTGTGGATTCAAACCCCGGCACAATCAAGGATGTGCACTGCTGAACAGCTTTAAAAAGAGCAAAGCACAAGTTCAGTTCTTCCCCGCTTTCGACGACTGTGTCCCAATGATAGTTATGCGAACATGAACAGGTAATAAAAACTTGGACACACTTGTTTTTTGGCCATTTTGTGAACCAGAGGCTTGTTCACAGTTCGTGTACTTGACGAACTAATCGAATCCGAATGCAGATGTCCAACGACGGACATCAACATCACATTGTCGACCGAAAGCGCTACATTTAGTGGGTGTTAAAATTTCAGTTAAGAAGCCCTTAAAGTTTTCCTATGTCTCCGCGATAGCTCCCCTTGTTAGAAAACACCGACACAGGTCCGAGAAAAGCCACAATAACCAACACCAAACGAACGATAAATGTTTGGTCTGTTTGATTCATTCGATTGTTCACTCATGCTTTTTTGGCATCTCGATATTAGCGGTAACTTTTACGGGAGTGACTGTCAAAATCAAAAGATTCTTAGGTCATCTGGGCATACTTCACAAAGCCTTCATGCGCAAGACGCATTATCTTGGGACTTCCCAATATTATTACCTGAGGATTTTCTGTAAGTTCTTGGCAAAATCCTCTTGTTGGTGGACAGATCAGCGCTCAGGTGTTGTTCGTCGTGTTTCGAACCAAACTACTTGTCGGGCATTTGGAACAGCTAATTTGGACAAATGTACCGCGCACCTTAATGATAAAAACCTTATTGATTTGCGTGTTTATTCTGACCAATAGCGAGACAGCATTCGGTCTGGCTCACGTACGCAGGCGCGTCAGTCGCCGATTACGAGTGTCACATTTGTTCACACTCATCCGAATGGTCAAATGTTCGACAGATAAGTGCGTCGTATCGACGTAGGCACCCCAGTATTTATTGTGACTTCCGATGCTCGTAAATCCGAAATCGAGGATGGACGCACGGCGCTGATTGGAAGTAAGTGCACCGGCATCGCTTTTTCCACAAATTATGAGTGATTTCCACTGCGGTCGTAACACCCCGAATATGCGATTAGTAGACATATTGCTTTTTACATCGATTTGCTCCCTAAAATCGCGTTATCATGAGTTCTGCTGAGTAACTGAAGTGTCGACTGCGCACACCCTAAAGAGTATCGCTCGCAGTCACCGCAAAATAGGCGTCAGAGAATTTGACCAGCACAGCTGCTGACTTACGCTAAAGTGGTGAAGAATGGGAAGTGTTGACAAGTCATTAAAACTCGTATACCTAGGTTCTCAAAATCATCGAGGTGGGTCCGTTTCCTTGGTATTCTCAACTACCGTAGACTGAAACAGTTGCAGGAATGTTTGAAGAATTGACTAAAATGATACACAACTGTCTAGCCTAAGCTACATCCCATCAGCTGCATCATAGTCGCGATATCGATTTGCTCCCTAAAATCGCGTTACCATGAGCTCTGCTGACTAACTGAAGTGTCGACTGCGCACACCCTAAAGGGCAGTTCGCAGCTGGAGACACTCCAACCGTTTGCTGTGAGTCTGTGGATAGCTGCCATGCCACCCGAAGGAAGCACGAGGGTTGGGATGCTGCCAGGTTGCCCAAGCCTAGACAGGGAAGTCAAGAGGCAGAGGTCGGGTTCGAACCAAGGACCTTCCGGTCAGTACATTGACCATTCCACACCAGTCTTGACGACTGATTGAAATTTACTGATGTGTGAATGATCTCTTCTAACGGAGAACATGGGTTAGTCGCGGTTGAATCTCGTTAAACTAGTGAGAAACAAACGGGAAAAAGGGGAAACCTGTGACACTTTCTGTCCTAATTATGTAGGCGAAATTCCGAGGTTTATAGCGCGTCCAAGATGATACTCTGGGTGTGGTGTCACTAAATCGCATGATGATGTTCGTGACGTCTCTTCTCTGGCCCGTGACTGTCCCTCAATTCTCTTGGTGTTTCTCTAAGATGAAGCGATTGATTCGTTTGAGTAGCCACCGCAAAATGTCATATTCGAGAATGGAACGTATACTACCTTTCATATTGCGTCAGGCTAGCACGTTTACTGAGACTGTCTGGTGAACGTCAGAACTTGTAATTCGAGGGAATTTTTTCAGTGAACCGTTGATGATGTAACCAGACTGCCTTTCGTAAGAGAGCAGATGGTTTCTAGAAGCTTGTAAAATGAGTAACGGCTAATGAGGAACACTAATGTGAGCTCTTCTGGGGATCCTTACCTTGCTAGATGGACCGCCTTACTTTCACAGCAATACGCTTCTCGCTTAGTTAGGGCTACTTGTCTAGGCCATTCGTTTGGATGACTCACGATGATTTCCAGTTCGAATCTTTCGGTGGAGATGGAGACTGGGAGCCAACATTGAGCAAGACTGGAACGAGATATAGGACTGTTACATCCAAACAGCCACACATTTGTAAAGGGATTCACCAGGGCGCTACGACTGTCAGATGAACGCCAAGAAAGATACTGTGAAACAGAAAGCATGCAAGGTATGGTTCAAGATAGACACACCACTGATAGATGCCCTACTCGAGCTCAGGGAATGTGAAGTGGGTACAACGGGGCGGAGATGATTCTATTTGCTTTTCAATATAATATCTATAAAATGCACCAAAGCTTGGTAAACGATCGGTAATTTTTAACTGGGTAACGTTTCGCTTTTGACACAAAAGCTTCACCAAACCGAGTGAGTGGGTCACCAAGTTGGTTAGGTTTTAACGCGGACGGAGAACCAACCAGTAAAACCAATTCAGATCAGCACAGTAGGTCAATGGTGAGTGTCAATTAAAGGGTCTTGTTGGTTAGTGCAGTTGCGGTTCATTGGTTTGGGAAGGTTCAAAATATTTTTCGTCGGGTTTGGTTCCTTCCTGTTTCACTTCAAGGTGCTTCAAATGATGATTCACCCTGGGTGTCACTGGCAGATTTCGCTGCTCTGTGGGGGCTTGTAAGTGCCACGACAATTAGGTTAGGATGTTGGTGACTCCTTCTGATGACCGCACACCAACACACGTCAGCTAGGCCGATCCAAAACCGTTCTCCACACGCTTGCCAGTTCTTCGCTTTCTGTTCTGTCAACACAGTGGTACCCCAGGTTAACAGGGAAGGCGGTCAGTTTGGGTAGCAACTTCTGATTTCTGAAAGGTCTTGCAAATTTCTGTCAACTTATTGTCAGTTTTCAATATCCATGGCTGACTAGGTTGGAACCGAGGTTAAGTTGCCCGTCACTGGAAGTTACGGGGGAAGGACCTTCAGGTCAATGCCAGCAGTGAAGTTACAGATACTACGCAAGCCACCGAGCAATTTGTCGTGGGGCAATGGTGGGAACCTATGGTTGAAATCCGAGATATTTTGTATGGGGAGATGAGCTCTGTGAAAGAAAAAATTCCTTCTAAGAAGGTCGCTTCTACAAATGTTCACTGTCTTCTGTACAAGTTTCTCACGATCAGACACACTGGCTTTACATCATATTAATATCCTCCTTCGAGAGAGGGGGGAATCTGAACCAACCCATCTTCTTTGCAGTCACTCTTCGGACAAAAAATTGCTTACTGGAGCAACCAGCCTAGTGAAGATGTTTTACTCACACATAACACCGATCCTATCAAGATGTGCATGCAAGCGTTAAACATATCAATAAAAGGTGCCTTCCTAGGAAAGAAGTAAACTGCAACTGACTTGAAAAGTCAATGCTTTGCTACAAGCAAAGTCGAAGCCCAAGCGGGCTTTTTTCGCATAATCCTGGCTTGCGTTTTTTTTTAGCAAACTTCAGATACCTACAGATCATGGGTTTACAACCTTTTTTCACTGCTGAATATCTCCATGAGACAAGGCATGTCCCATAACAAATGCAATGTGTTTTGAGTTGGAAATCGGGGTGGCAAAACTGTTAATTTGACTGACAGTGATACACCGGGCTATCATAGGGCAGACCCTCATGCTGAGACACAAAAAGAACAAACTCATCTAGCCACGCGGTAACTGATAATCCAAAATGTGGCATGTACTTGCTTCGAAAATTGGGATCACCTCAAGGTCTGTCAGCTGTGCACTTTAACCGTGCCCAACAGTCGGTTGCACTTTGACCACAAAGATTGGCGGTAGTAGGGGACACTTTATTCCCAGTCGTCTTATTCGACATCTAGTAGTATCATTCACGCATGGTATTTCTCAATCGATACTACTTACTGTAACAGAAGAACGTATGTTGCACGTAACGATATCAGGGTCGGAATATATCCTTCGATTTTCTACACTCTCCCAACTTCTATTCACACACAGTGAGACAACCCGGATGACCAACCGCAAGCAATCTTTTCCAAGAGACGGCCGTTGCTAAACGAGAACTGATGAAACCCGGGGAACGTAATATTTTTTAGAGAAGATATTGAAAAAACAGTTTACCTGCGTAGCTTGCATCGTTTAGTTTAACTAAACTAAAACAGTTCCTATTAGCACTGAGATGAATCCGGCGGTGACTTTTTACTTATCGGGCCGTTGGATTCGCCTCAACTTTCCGGACGACCCTAGTGTACTAATGGAATGATGGATTCTGTTCACTCGGCCAGGACAATCGAGACTTGGTCGCTCGCGAATCCTTTGTTCTTTTATGGACAATGATGATAACCAAATGCGTGAGGAACAGGAATTGGTCAATACTAAGTCGCCCATTCTTGAAATAGGATATTTTTTTCGTGATAACAGTCAATATTTCTTTGGACTTTAAACAGAATCCAGTTCACGGAGGTTGCTTTATAATATTGGTTAGTATTCGGCCTAATATGGGACGAACAACAAAGGAACAGTTGGCGCTTGGCTTTGGTTCTCATCCTGGTGCTCTCTACCCACTTGTCCTGTCGAGTAACCGAGCCCATTTTGTGCTCTTAATACGAGACAACCCGGATGACCAACCGCAAGCAATCTTTTCCAAGAGACGGCCGTTGCTAAACGAGAACTGATGAAACCCGGGGAACGTAATATTTTTTAGAGAAGATATTGACAAAACAGTTTACCTGCGTAGCTTGCATCGTTTAGTTTAACTAAACTAAAACAGTTCCTATTAGCACTGAGATGAATCCGGCGGTGACTTTTTACTTATCGGGCCGTTGGATTCGCCTAACTAGTCTCCCAGATGAAGAATTCATCCGATGATCTAGAATAAATTATCTGGTTAAATTACGGTTAAACTCAAAGTGTGGTTACCAGACAATGCACCTCAACAGGTTGTGATTACCTTTTAACCAAGTTCTGGTCAGATTCCAACATTCACAGTCACGAGACATTTTTTCTCGTTAGGTGTCATCAGGTGGACGTTGATAATTTATCCTGTCAGTAAAGCTGTTTCTCCCTTGTTGCGAATCATCAGTAGTCTCATGACTCGTGACCTTCCAGCTGATAAGTGAAACACTCAACTCGACAGGTGCGCTCATTTGCAAATCAATTTGGTCTTCACGGGAGACTCAACTGAATCTCTCCTGAAGACAACCCGAATGACCAAGAGAGGCTGATGAACATTGAGATTGATTTCCATCAAGACAGGAGAAAGCGCCACGCATCCTTCGATAATGGAATCTACACCAGGTGTCCAGTTACTTACTGGTTTCTCGAGCAACGAATTCTCCGATGGAAGTTTAATTCATCTCTTGAGATCGTTCTTGCTCTGAGCTGAACGAAGCACTCCTCGCGGCTTCAAATTTATTCATCAGCCAAGTGTTTATATTTTAGCCAGTGAAAAGAGCAGATAACAAATGGCGTGACCTGCATTTTCCATAGTATCCTAAATTACTTCTATACCAGACCAATATACGACCTATCAGCGATGCGTGAACCTCAATGTTCCTATGATTTCTTTAGCAGGGTGGCAAACAAGCTATCGTGATAAGCTGTTAACCAAGACTACTTTGACACGAAAATATATTTTAAGTTGTCACAGTGGAGTATCACATAAGACAAAACGTCTGGACAGCCTTGAGTAAAATCAGAGTTCCTTGCAACAGAAGATTCTGTAAGCCGAGATGCGATCAGAGGGAACAAGAAACCCAGAGTAGTGGGCAGCTTATCTTGTCCAAAAGTCCGTTTTTTACAGAGTGAATGTCAAAATTGAAACATCTGTGGTGGTTACTCGGATTGCTCTCTCCTGAAATTACAAAATGCTAGGAAGTTGAAATTTTGCTCCGCACTTGCTGACGGATACTGCGGGTTCGGTACCGATCGTTGGTGTAACTCAGTGGCCAGTCGCTAGACCAAGACAGTAGTTCATCTGAATCAACCACAGGAGGACGTACATTCCGGTGAGATGGAAAGGTAGAACCATTCTCTGTCTGAGGAACCACCAGTAAAAACGACAGATGTATTATAATCGATTGGAAACACTGTAGGTTTTTTCACTAAGTCCATGGGGATCCAGATTTAACACACTTACTATCCTGCAAGTGGAGCTAAGCCCGGTGAGAGCTTCTTCCAACCAGAGAACCAGTGAGTTCCTCTGTTCGGATTGCAGAATCGGACGTTTCTGGCAACCACGTCGGGGCTATCAGTCGGAAATAAGAAACACCCCTTGTCTGACCAATATGAACAGAGGCAGCGCGAACTCAATTAGGCCGAATGGATACAGTTTCAGGTGTGATAACTGAACACAAAATATCGATTCCCATAAACCGGAATTACCGAGATTTCGACTGCGCTCCCGAAGTACTCCATGGATAGACCGTTGAGTAAACTGCTCAGGTGTGAACTCACCTTCAAAGGGTTGTACGACAATATTTTTTTCGTTCCGCTGTTACACTCTTTTGGTGCCTTCCTGATATGTCACTCGAAGGAAGCGCGATGGCTGGGATACTGCCAGGTTGCCCAAGCGTAGACATGGAGGTCGAGGAGCAGATGTGGGGTTCAAGCCACAAACCTTTCAGTCAGCAGGTTCGCGCTCAAACCAGTGAGTGCCCCACCATAATATTAAAAAGACAGTAGAGTTGGATGCGGCTCGATAACCCCTAATTCTTGGATATATGGTAACATCGTGTTAGATGTGATCACATTGCCTGAAAATGTTGTTCTATAATGTCCGAAAATTAAGAGCTTCGCGAATTCCCCATTAATTGGTTGTCACAAACAGTTTAGACTGACTCTAATGAAATTTTGGTTCCTCTCAGTGCTTCATACATTCGCTAGAATGCCAATCGAAATGGAAAAAAGACTGGTTCAACAAGTGCACTGGCTCAAATAAAACATACCCATAGGGAACTGTTGGCATTATTGATGTTACGCAAGCCAAATTGTCGAAGAGAACAAAAGGGATACAGAGGGATATTACCGGTAAAAGTCAAGTGCTTGCAAGTTCATCTGTACCATATTAGTCGATCCATATTATATTGTATAGTATTACATTGTATTCTGACTTCCAGCAGTGATGCGGCATGGATCAAGAGGGACTAGTTTATCCGGCTACAGTGCAGGCTGTTTTGTTCTTTGGC